ACTGGTGCAATAGCTAGATTAGCCTTTTAGTATGGGGACTTGATGCTTTTGTGTGTTACGCTGCATGGTACTTTTTTAATTAACGGGCTTGCAATGCTACCTCCTCCTGGCTTTAAGCTGGGGCCGCCTCACTCCCAAATAGATAGATGGATAAGTGGATAGTGGTGTCTTCAGATGGAATTAGATTAGATTCTAGCAGGATTTAGTGTCTTAACTCTTGGGGTCTTAGGCACTTAGTTGACGTATCCAGCATGTGTTTGCTGTGCCCCTGAATGGGTAAAGGTCTTCAAGGCAAGAGAATATATTATTTGCTATACCGTTGTGAGTTGGGTAAATTTTTTTAAATTATTGGATTATTCAACTGAATGCCTTGCCCAGGAAGGATAAAATACAAAGATAAACATTGGAGCCACCAGTTTTGGGAGCAAGGCAGATCAAGCAACTTTTTTACTTTGAACACCAGAATTTATCATTTTCCCCGAGTAACAGATAAAGGTCCTCTTTTCCATTCTTAGGAAGCAATTTTGGAGGTGGTGGAAGCTACAATGATTTTGGCAGTTACAACAATCAGTCTTCAAATTTTGGACCCATGAAAGGAGGAAACTTTGGAGGCAGAAGTTCTGGCCCCTATGGTGGTGGAGGCCAATACTTTGCCAAACCCCGAAACCAAGGTATGGTGTATATGTGGTATGGGACGGCTAAACTAGTACAGTTGAGGAAAATATTAGACCTTTAGTCAGGGTAGGTGCAGGAAAACTGACAATTTAAAATCTTGAGGAAATTTTAAGTGACTGGTAACTTGTAGTTCAGTTAGGAAAATCATGTGAGCCCAAACTTGTGAATTTGAACTTATATAATACAAATATGAAAGCCCCAAATATAAAAAGTATTACCATTATTACTCATACTCCTAAAGGTTAAGGGAACAAATTTGTTCTTAGGTGGCTATGGTGGTTCCAGCAGCAGCAGTAGCTATGGCAGCGGCAGAAGGTTTTGATTACTGCCAGGTAAGTGAACAGCTTTTTTTGTTTTCACTTAATTTTCTTGTAATTGATAATGAACACAGTAACCCTAATGTAGCTGAGCAGTGAAACATAGTTAACATTATAATTACAGTAAAATTGTGGATATTAAGTTAATATTCAGATCAGCAAAATTTGTGGGAAACAACTTGCTATTGGATTGTAGCCTTGAGTCTTAATATGTTTAGATTAACAACTTTATTCCATATTGTTCAACAGGAAACAAAGCTTAGCAGGAGAGGAGAGCCAGAGAAGTGACAGGGAAGCTACAGGTTACAACAGATTTGTGAACTCAGCCAAGCACAGTGGTGGCAGGGCCTAGCTGCTACAAAGAAGACATGTTTTAGACAATACTCATGTGTATGGGCAAAAAAACTCGAGGACTGTATTTGTGACTAATTGTATAACAGGTTATTTTAGTTTCTGTTCTGTGGAAAGTGTAAAGCATTCCAACAAAGGGTTTTAATGTAGATTTTTTTTTTTTTTTTGCACCCATGCTGTTGATTGCTAAATGTAATAGTCTGATCGTGACGCTGAATAAATGTGTCTTTTTTTTAAATGTGCTGTGTAAAGTTAGTCTACTCTGAAGCCATTTTGGTAAACCACCCCAACAGTGTGAAGTTAGTATTCCTTCAGGGTGATGCCAGGTTCCATTCAAAATTTATTTACAACCTGCTTTGGTGGAGAAGCTACTGTCTTCTGAAACCTTGGTGTAGTTGAACTGACAGTTACTGCGTTGTGACCTTGGAGTTCACCGTGAAAAAGGGTCACCCAAGCCAAGTCATGGAGTTTTTTGATTATTAATATATGATTGTTGGCACATCCTATGCAATATATCTAAATTGGATTATGGTACCAGATATAGATGGGAATGAAGCTTGTGTATCATCCATTATCATGTGTAATAAATAAACAATTTAATACCCTCTTGAATGGAATGACAACTGTATGGATTTGGGACTGGCAGAGCTTTGGACCTTCCCTACCCACTACCCCTGATAATGTTGAATGCTTCTATCACAATTCAAGTTCAAAACTCTGCCAGGGAATAGAAACCAGATGCTGGCTAATGCCACCCCATAAATCCACAAATTAGAAGTTTCGGGGAGACCTTTTTAAACCGACCAGTACCAGTAAGGAATTTACTCTTAACACAAAAACAGGTTTACATTAAAGGAAAACTACAGTTTTTGTTCCGGTTGGGTGGGTATATATAGGTTTATGGATTGACACTAGTAATTATCTGTATGGAGATTAAAATTTGTTATGGTGGGGAACCATGTTATTTACTTTTAATTCACGCTAACTGCAGTTTTCCTTTAAATACGGCACAAGATGACACAAACATTCTAAAATGTTGATTGTATAGAAAATGACTTCTAAACCTTTATAACAGTTTACTTAATATCCAATCATTGTTATTTGTACATAGCTTCCTTTGAGCCCTCCCTTTGGTACCCTCAATTTCAGTGCCATTGTACTTAGTAGAATAGAGATTTGTTTATCACTAGGACTGTGTATTCCATCCCACGGGTGTGTTGGAAGTTTGGGGAGGGGGTTGGGTGGGGTTGGGTGGGAGGTGGAGGTGGGTGGGAAAGCGTGGGTAATAGTTCCATGGGCTTGATACTGGCTGAGTTTGCAACGGCAGGTGGAACCTTAACTATTGAGGGAGTTTGCAGATACCTCAGGATTCGTGACAATGCCTTTAAAGATCCAGGAGAGATGTTCAGCTACTAGGAACTGCTAGCAAGTATAGCGCGAATGGCTCCGAGGCCAGACACTCTACAGCTGAGAGTAGACACTTGTGGTATGTGGAGTACAGATAAGCCAGGGGCAGGCCACGGCACGCTCCATGAAAGCTAGGAGGGAGTGAAGTTTCAGTGACCATCGCAAGGAAGGAGGCAGACAAGAGTAAGGCACACCTGACTCTTAGGACTAGCAGTCAGAACCAGGAGAAAAGGTTTTATTGCTATGCTGGTAGGTAAGAACAGATTTTACTTACATCCATATAGCTCTCTAAAATCCAGCTTTCTCTTATATTTTCTTTAATATATTGAGCCAAAACTAGTCCAGTTAAGCTGAACTTGGTTTTTCTGGAAATGAATTGCTTAAGTTGACACCCTACTCTTGGCGGCTCCTAACTGAAGGAAGTCAGCACTTTAATTACTTCTACAGTGATACATTTTTACCCTTTAATTTCTATATTTCCTATCTTTTGACCTATTAACTTAAAACAATGGCTCAAAGTAATATATTAGAATCTTCCCCAGAATGCTGGTGGGAGGGTGGGCGGACCATTAGTTGGGGGGTGGGAGGGTTTAGCCTGAGATGGAACTTGTCTCTGAGAAAAGCTAGTTCTTAAAGGCTGTTTACTTTTCTAGGGAGGAGTGTGCTACTACAGGCTTAGCAACTCTTAAACAAAATTCCAGTTCAAGCTCATGGCTAAAAGGTAGGTTTTTATAAAGTAACAGTGCTTAGTATTCCTAAAGTAAAATGCCAGGCTGTGCCTCAGAAGTAAAAAAAGTAAGATCTATTGTTCTATTATCTAACAGACTGTAGCCAGCAAGAAGCTATTAAAGCAATTGGATTCTCAGTAAAGAGAATGGATGTAGTTGTAGAATCTTTCACCTGCTTATGTATATGCTTTTTTCTTTTTTGCAGGACCATCCTTATGAGGACCTTTATCTGAGCCACTGTGCGCTTCATTTTCACTGCCATGCAGTAGTCAGTTAGCTGCTGCGCAGCTTGAATTAATCATTCAGTTTTGTGAATGGACTTTTTAAAAATAAAATGCATCTGACTTGGTTTTGGTTCTTGTTTTCTATGTCTTCTTCATGACGTTTATGGTAAATACCTTGAGATCGTGCATGTTCTTTACTAGGTCAAGTTTGAGAACGGGAAATGCAGGAGTTAATGGTAAGCCAGAAGAATTTTACCCTCGTTCCTTACCAGTGTTTCCATGTAGTCACTGTAAGCTGTTTAAAGAAAACTGTATTATAAATGTTTCGAGCATAGCCACGTGTTAATTCAGATGGAGGAAGTACTGGGCTTGTTGGAAGTGATTCTAATACTATGTATTACTATTTTTTAAAGTCCCATCAGCATCCCCATGGTTTGGTGAAGTCAGAGAAAGTGGTTTAATTTCACTGCAGGAGTAAATCTTGACCCAGAAGTGAGCTGTTCGCTACTGCTCCTCTTGAACGGGTCTTTTTTGTAGCTCTCCTGGCAAGGGAAAATGGAGTTGTAGTGAAGGCTGGCAGATGCTGTTGAGTTTGAGTCTCTTCTGGAACTGTGCTTATCTGTTCAGTTTCTGAGGGGCATAGTGGGTCTCATCTTGGGTGAATAAACATTTAATTGGTCTGCTATTTCAGGCTTCAAAAATACTGAGCCAAGGGTAAGAAGGTAAAGGAAGTCCATACAACAGTGGTTTGGAGGGATAGAACAACTGAGACTGCCAGTTTGCTAAAAAGTAAATTCCCTATTTTTTAAATGAAATAGCCTGTAGGAAGATTAATACCTTGTTCAAATTCTTGTGACCGCCCTTCCATCTTTGGCCTTAGGTACTGTTAAATATGTGTATCTGAGAGTCTTGCCTGCTATGGTGTACTCCATGAGAAGTGTCTCCTGTTGACTATCCAGTGCCTAGAATGATACCTAAGCTTATTGGGTGCCCAGTAAATATTGGTTGAATGAATGTTTAAATTTGGCTCTGAATTAACCATCTTTGTGAGTTGGGTTAGAATGAAAAACTTCATTCTGATATCCCTTAAGCAAACTAGTCAAATTGAACAACTAATCTCATTACCACTTGATCCCACATGTTCAGGTTTTTGGAAAGTTGAGAGGTTGGACTGTCTTCAGATCTATTAGGAAACTTTCATTCCCTAGAGACCACTTTTTTTCTGAATCTGTAGGCATGAAGATTCCAGTTTGGTCACTTCTGTCTGCTTTTTTGTCTCAACTAATGAATATCAGAACTTGGAAGTAAGGTTTCTTTATTGAAATGGAGCTAGTAAAATTGAATAGAAGTGTAAAGAAGCAAAATGTAATTTATATAATTCAGTGATTGGGAAGAGTGGGAACCACCGCAATTCCAAGCAAGGAGGTGAAGGTGTGTGGAGGTTGGACTGGACTTTGATCCATGTGGCTAAGAATTCTGAAATTTAGTCGTGTTCGAAGAAAAAATATACTAATAAAAGGCCCTAGATCTTCAAGGATCTAGAAAGGGGGGCGGAGGCACCAAAACAAGAATTGGGTAACTTCTATCTAATGTAACCAGGGAGATGGAAGATTTCACTGAAATGCATACTGTGCTCCACTGTGGAGCAGACTTGGTACCCAGACCTGGGTGTGAAATCCCCTGAAACTTGGGTGTCCAATCAAATTCTCTCATTCCAATCAAGAGCAGCTCACTCAGTCTTCTGAGAGAGCCCTGGCATCAGGGCCCAGGCTGAGGGAGTCCTGTAGAAGTAGGCATGAGGAGGGGAAAATGGCCTGTGGGCGTTCTAGGATTTCCAGTGCCCCAAAGTTTGTAAAAGGAGTGGCCTAACACTCAGGGACCTCTCACAGAGGGTCTAGCCGGCTCTGGCAACAATCCCAGCTCTATAAATAGGGGGCCACCCGAGAAGGTGTGGTTCCTCAAATCATCCATGGCCCCTGGCTCTGAGAAGGGGAGTGAAGGTGGTAGATATCACACTGCTCAGGCCCAAGCGTCATGTGTCCACATGTCCTCATACAGAGCCGTAGGGGAAAGAAGCAAGCTCAGCAGAGCTACCTCCCTGCCACCAACAGGCAGTGAGCTCTGAGGGCACCCCCTTCATCACCCTCCTTCGAGAAGGAAGACACAGCGGAAAGCTGTTTCTGTAGAGTGTTTTATATACCAAAGCTCAGACGAGATTGGAGACCTGGGAAACTGAATCACGGAAGAGAGATTCCAGCCCTCCCCTCACGTCCTCGCTTCCGGGCAAGCCTCACTGAACACACCTTGGACTTTCCAAATGCCAGGTTTCCCACTGTGGTCCCTCCTGGTCTACAGAACTCAGCTCCTTCTGGGCCTCACGGTTGGGGAGCACCTTTATCAGAAGAGAATGAAGGAAACCTCCATCACCAGCCCCAACCCTCCGGCCAGCTCAGTCTGTGGCCTCCATCTTGGTCCCCCGGGGCACCAGGAAGATGGCGCCATCAGCAGCCTGGTGCAATGCATACTCTTCAGGGGAGTAGCTGTTGCCTGCCTCATCCCGCAGGTGCTGGAAAATGTCACGATACAGCTCCGTCAGCTGTTGGCGCATGACCTCCAGGGTCCGGTCGGCCTCGCCTCGGGCCCGGAGGAGGCGCTCCCGCTCACTGCCCAGCCGCTCCAGTTCCCGCTCCAGCTGCACGATGGTCTCCAGCTTTCTCTTGCGACAGTTCTGGGCGGCCACCTTGTTCTTGCCCCGCCTTCGGATGTCCCGGACTAGTGCCAGCTGGCTCTCCGTCAGCGGGTACCGTGCCAACAGCTCGTTGAAGTCATCTACTGGCAAGTTGACGATCTTGTCCGTAGGGAAGGGGATCTTCATGGCCAGGGCTCGACGCTCATCCCGACTCCCCGCCTCCCCCCGTGCAGTGGGCTTGGCCCGCACGGGGCCCGAGGAGGGCTCTAAGGCTAAGGGGGTCTCGGCAGGTGGCAAGGCATAGTTGGGGTGGGCCAAGGAGTTGGGCATTAGTGAGTAGGGGTACTCCACTGGGTACATCTCTACGTACTCGCTGCGACGCCGACCAGCCTCCGTCCCTTCCAGCTCAAGAGATTCAGCGTCACTATAGTTGAGGGATAATCCTGAGTCGGATTCTGGGTCTTCTTGGGGCTTGGATGGCCCCGCTGACAACCCAATGTCCAGGAGGGCCAAGGGGTCTGGGAGGGGCTCACTGAGCAGGCCTGAGAGGGTCAGCGGCTTGGAGGCTGGTACGGTCATGTTGCCATAGGCGTATGGGGGGTCTGGGACATGAGATGTGGGTGCTGGGAGCTCATAAGGTGGTGAAGAAAGGGGAAAGCCAGCCTCCGGGTGGATTGAACAGGGGCAGTAACTTGGAGGCGGCGGGGGCCCAGGGTATGGGGCTGGGGGCTCGAAGGATGTCTCACTTGGAGCGTTTAGGCCCTGCAAGAAAAGACACCAAAAGGTTTGGAGACAGGCTGAGGAAGAGAAGAAACCAGCTGTCTCTCAGAACCAAGCTGGGTCCAGCTGAAAGACCCAGTGAGATAATCACAAGGGAAGAGAACGGTGCTGAGTATCATTGAAAGCTTCTGGCAAAGTTGTGATACAGTTCGTTCACGGGGAAAGCGGCTTAAACAAGAAGGGAAGTCACGCAACAATTATGGAATCCCCTTCTCTTCAGGAGAAGTTCTTACTGTATTGAAATGGCTCATGTCCCTTTATTTCCTTCAGGAAGACAAGGAGTGTCTCCAGGATGACCCTCGGAACCCTTTTCCTGCTGCCACTATCTAGGGTCAAAGGGTCAAGTTCAGACCCTGGCCATGCCCTGGGTGCCCAGCAGAGGGAGCTGCTGTGTGGGAAGAGGGCTTAGGGCAGATCCTGAGGGCCCAGGCATGGTGGCAGGGAAGAGAAGGGGGTGGGCACAGAGCCAGGTCTGGGGCTGAGAGTTACCTTGGGGAGCCGGCACAAGCTCTGCCCTCTCCCCTTCAGTCCCTCTATCCCTGCCCAGGTGCAGAGAGGAGGAGAGAACGTGCTGGAAAAGGGCCCCCAACCCACATCGGGGAGCCACCCTGCTCCAGCCCAGCTGGGGACAAAGGCATTATTGTTAGGCCAACAGACACCCCTTTGTCCAACTAGCAGGAGGAGAGGACCCCGGCATAGTCTGACCCCCCTTCCCAAGGTCAGAACTACAGCTCTGCTACCTGAGGGAAAGGGGACCCCCACCCCCCCACCCCCCACCCACCCCCACCCCCACCCCGCCGGCTGCTGAGGGCAGGGGGAGGAAATGAGGGAAGAAGATGGGCAGGATTGGAGGAGGTCAGAACAGAAGAAGGTGAGGAAGGGAAGGCGGGACAGGAGGTGGGGCAGAGAGACGTAAGCAGAGTGACTGCCAAGAGAGCTTACACCCCCAATCAGATCCTTCCTTCCCCACCACTCCTATCTCCTGCTCATCCACACTCCCTCCCCTTCAATGCTCTGGTCTTCCATCCAGATCGCCCTCTGACTCCAGCCCTTCCTTTCACAGTGCCTGGAACATTTCCATCTTGAGACCCTGGGCTCTGCTTGCTCCAGCCCCCGGCCTCAGTCCCATCCAGACTCCCTGTTTCTCTGCTTTTCCCTCCCCCCACCCCTGCCCCCTAACCCCACTCACCTGCAGCTCAGTGATGGACATGATCTCTTGCCAAGTCAATTCCATCTCACCCAGCTCCAGAGTGGGCAACTGTGTCACCCTGTTCCTGCTCTGCTGGGGAGGACACGGGGGCATCCTACTGGGCCAGGGCCTGGTCCAAGGTCCCGAAAGCCCAAATGGTCCCAGCAATCTGTGTCAAAGGAGAAACAGGAGTTAGGGCCCCTCTTGCCACAGGTCAGCAATTTTGTCCTCCTCCATGGAGAGGCTCCCTCCAGCTTCACCTGAGGGAAGGAGATGCCTCATTCCCCGCCCTACCCACCCCCATTCATGTTGCACGCATCATCGGACAAACTCCTTAAGCTAGAAAGCCTTTTTCTGCTGTGTTGTCTCTACCTCACCTGCTATGGCTGTAGGCAGTTCGTTTGGGAGCACAGTAGGTTTTTATCTTCTTTTCAGACAAGATGCCTTCACTTTCCCCTACTTCTTACTCCTCAAAACTGTATCACTGGCCAGGACAAAAGTCACATCATCCAGTGTTTTTTATTTTTCCTGTTTCCTGCAGCAACATCAGGGATCACTCCTGCTCTCCTCCTCTGCCCTCACTTTTAGGATCTCAGTCTTTTCTTTCCAAGATGAGAGCGAGTGCTTGGGGATCCCCAAGGAGTGTGTTGTGGGAAGAGCCAAGCAGACAGCCCCTCCCCTTCTCTAAGATATGGCCCAGGCCTGGTGACTGATAGCAGCCCTGCCCTCTCCTCCTATCCTGGCCCTGGGCTCCCCTGCCTGGGCCAGATAAGAGGTTTATCAGCCAGCAGGCAGCAGAGGAGGAATGGTCTCTGGAGACACTGGACCTCTGCCCTGTGTCCCACAGGGTCATCTTGGCTATACCCCACTCCACACAACCAGGGGTCTTTTCTCTCCTGAGGTCATATAATAACCACAGCAAAGACTTATTTGGCATTTGTTGAGAACCGAGCTGGTGGTTTATAAGCACTCGTTTATGAGATTGCTTTCCACAAAAATCCTGTAAGTTCCATTCAGAAGTTGAGACTCAGGCTGATAAATAGCAGAGTCAGGTCTGGTACCTAGAGTCGCCGACTCCACTAGCCTATCCCACCTTCCAGGCGCCTTCCCAATCCTGCTCCCATGTCTCCTCCATACGCCGGGACTCTATTGGCGGTCGACATCAATCAACTCTTTCTGTGGAATCTCAGACTCTTTTTTTTTTTTTTTAATTTATTTTTGGCTGCACTGGGTCTTCGTTGCTGCGCACAGGCTTTCTTTAGTTGCGGCGAGCGGGGCCTACTCTTCGTTGGCACTGCACGGGCTTCTCACTGCAGTGGCTTCTCTTGTTGCGGAGCATGGGCTCTAGGCGCACGGGCTTAGGTGCTCCACAGCATGTGGGATCTTTCCCGATCAGGGCTATGAACCCATGTCCCCCGCATTGGCAGGTGGATTCTTAGCCACTGCGCCACCAGGGAAGTCCTGAATCTCAGTCTCTTTTCTCTTCTAAGGAATATTTCTTTAGAGGCTTGAACACACACTTCCCTCCAGCCCCCTTTCTTTGGATCTGGGCTCTAGCTGCAGCTCTGCCACAGGGCAGCAGCACGATGTTGGGCAAGCCATCACATTTCTCTGAGCCTCTGTTTCCTCATTTGTAAAACCAGGGAGTGAGACAAGTTGAACTTGGAGGTCCCTCTCTGCTTGGATAGCTCAACATTCTCAGTAACCCCTCACCCCACCTTCATCTTCTCCTCTCTGTCAACCTCTCTCCTCATCCCACCTCCCTATTCCCTGACACCCATCTCACCCTCATCTGTTCTCCCTGCCTTCAGCAAGAGACTTCAAGTAGATGTGACAGGGACCTCCTGATCTCTTAGGGCCAGACACCACACCCTACCTTTGCCATGTAAGTGAGGGCAGGCAGGCTGGGTGGGTGAGGGAGACTTATAGAAGGACAGAGCATAGGACTGGATGACCTTAGATCACCACAAGGTTGGCCTATCACAGCTATTTAATATGGGATCCACTCTTTGATTCACCACAAAATTGGTGAGAACTTTAAATTGTCCTTTCGAAGGAGGATCTCCCCTAGCCCCTGCCCCCTAACCCTAACCCTAACCCTAACCCTTGTTACATTGCCATCCCCAGAGCTGGGAGTTGGTATAGGCACAGGCCCTTGGCAAGTGGGCAGAGGGTGGGGTGTTTATGTCTGTCCAGGATGCCATTTCAACACCGGAACCCCACCTTCCCCCACCCAGGTTCTGGCGGAAATTGCCCAAAGGCAAAGTGAATGGAGAAGGGGTTTAGGGGGCAGGGACGATGACTCTTGCCTCACAGTCCTTCTCTCTCACACACACACACACACACACACACACATCCCATTTTGTCCCTCATAGTTTCCCGGATCTGACTCTTAGGTGCAGTACAAAGATCCTGTCCTAGGAGGCAGGAGACCAGGTTCTCTAGCCTTCCAGATGCATGATCTGGGGCAAATCGCTTCTTATTCATACTCTCCTATTAAATGGGGACAGACTTGGAGAACCTCCTTGCAGTAGATTGCATCTGGCTCAGGCAGTCACAAACTTTACTGTGGCCTGCCTTCACCTGGGGTGCTTGTGAAAATACAGAATTCTGAAAGCCACCCTGGACCTATCGAATTGAATTCATAGGCGCAGGTACCCAGCAATCAGCATTTTAAGGAGTGGCCTCATGTTTTTGATGCCAGAGGCCCACCCTACTTTGAAAACTACTAAACTGGTCCAACAATATGGACTTAAAAGAATGCAAGGGCAGAAGAGCACCTGGCAAGTAATCTCCAGACTTCTCCTAGCTTCACACCCTTGACCCAGGCGAGGCTGGGTTCTAGGCTGCCCTAGTCTCTGAGACTAGATATCAGCCCCTCCTCATAAAGACCAGGAATTTAATCTTCCCCTCACCCTGGGACAGGGAAATGAGAATCCAGAAGGGCTGCTGGGGGAGGTGGGAGGTTAGGAAAGAGGCAGTTAAGGAGAGCCTCAGGATCAAATCCAACCAGCTCTCTGGTGCAGTGGCAAGTTTGCACCAGGCCAAAAAGGCGTAGTCTGTTTTTCCCTAGACACTCAGAGATGGGTGGTGGTCTATACAACAGGCAAGGTCAGGAAGTCTACCTTCAACAGGTCTTAGGAGTCTCCCTTCCTGAAGACGGGCCAGGGGGCTGGCAGCCAGAGGTATGAGGGTATAGTCAGAATTGGATCAAATAGAACATCACAGAGGGTACAGAAGCTGGAGAGATACTGGGAAAGTGGAACATGCCTCCCTGTGTCCCTTTTCTTTTACAACAGACGGTTCCCACTTTCCAGTTTAGCCCACACTTTGAGGTCACACAGACATCTTGCTCCCCAACATTGCACATCAGGTAGGACGGACACCATCTCCAGAGACTATAACCCACCCTCTTTACTCTCATCCTGATGGGATTACCCGGAAAGATCTTATCACAATCCCTGAGTACACACAGAATGACGTGGAGCTTTATGTTTCAGGATACAGAATGAGGGCCATTTGGGGAGGGATGCTGGGGCAAGGAAGATATTTGGCCTCATCTGCAGCCCAGGGCTCTATAACACCTTGACAAGGGGGAGAGACAGAAAGGGCTCGCCTCTGGGACGCTGTTGTTGTTGTTTGTCTGGGACCGTGTACTGAGGCTTACTAGACAACCCCTCCTCTCCAGGTGTCAGTAGAGGCAGGGAAAGGATGGGGAGGGATCAGTAAAACTTGGGGTGTGGTATGGCAGATAAGCAGCCTATTTAGAAAGATTAGGAAGAATCCCCAAGGAGGGAGAGGCACACAGAAGTGAGAGAAAGAAATAGCCTGGAGGGGAAAGGGGCTGGGGAGAGAGGTGGGGAGGGAGAGTGAACGGGGTGGGGGGGGCAGCTTTGGTCACAGTAAGGTTCAGTCTCCTGGGGGCATACATGACTCAAACAGGTGCATGGAACAAGGGAGAGAGGGACAAGTCTCTGCCATCCTGTCACTTGGTCACTAGACCCCCCAACTCCAGTCCTTCGGGGGCCAGTGACTAGAGAATCTCAGCCCCAGCAGATGTGATACCTGACCTCTTCTCTTCCACTGTTTCCCAGCCCTCTACCTCCCAAGCTGCCAAGATTTCCAGTCAGAAGAAACTATGCTGGGGTGGGATGCCTTCCTCTCCCTTCTAGTTCCAGCTACTGCCCTAGGCCCAGAGAAGAGAACGGGCAAAGGGAGGCGAGAACTCAGCACCCTCTACCCCTAGCAGCCCATCCTGCTGCAACGACACCTCCCAGAAATCCAGGCATCCACTGTCTCGGATTCCTTAGCATTCCCCAAACCTCCCAGATGGCTGGACAGGGCAGTGGGATAGGACGGAGTAGGGGAAAGGATGGTACCATATACCTGAGAGTCTATTGGCTGCCCCAGGGCAGCCAGCCTGCTGAAGGGTTACTCAGTGTCACTCCCCAGCCCCTCAGGCGTGCCTCAGGGGACCACTGTCTGGTCCCCATCCATAGCCTTTCACCCCCAGAATCCCAGAGGGCTCAAAAAACCATCTAGGTCTTCTCCCAGAGAAATTCCCAAAGATGTCAAATTCCTAAACCAAGGGCAACCTGGAAAGGCCTGAGATCTCCGAGGAATGCACGGCAAGTTGCTTATTTTCTCCCGCTGCCTCCTTCACCTCCCCAGCTTGCCCCTGGGTCCCCCTGGAATCCTCCTCCCACCCTGCCCCTCAGGCACCTGTGGCAGGGTCCAAGCAGGGTGAGGAGAGAGATGTGGCTCCGGGTGCTGTCTCTGGGGAGGCTGGGCCTGGGCTGACACCTTCTGGGTGAGGATCCCTGCTACCTCTGAGAACCGGGGAGGGCCGTGCCCTGCCCCCAGGCCATCGCTGAGCGCCCAGTGTGTAGGCACGGGCCCGAGTGAGGGGACCTCAGGGGCCGGCACACCAGTCTCCTCTCTGAAGCCCTCAGCCTGAGTTCTCCGTCCTTCCTCCAACCCTCCCCTTTCCCCGTGGCCCTCCTCTCCTCCTGCCCCTTCTGGCCAAGAGAGGAAACTTGAGCCCGGTGTGGTTTCTGCCCGCACCCCACCCCCACCTTGCTCCCAGCCAGCGGGGGCACACATGGCTCCAAGCCTCTCCCAGCCCTCCTTTTGAGCCCAGGAGTCCAGCCAGCTCTGCGTTTCTCCCATGCATCTGATGGATTCCAACCTGATGATCCGTGGCAGAGTGACCTCTAGAATTTATACAAGTTGTAACCTCCTTCTCTTTGCCCCCTTGACTCTCTGAGGGGCAGGGAAACTGAGTCCTGGCAAGGTGGAGGGCAGCTGAAGAAAAGGGCCAGATATCTAGCATCCCAGCTGTTAGGCAGGTGGGCATTCAGGGCACTGCTTTAATTTCAGGAAAGCCTGGGCTCTGGGCAAGGGGTAGGGGAGCTTTTGGGGGGAGGAGGGGCCGGCTGCTTTGATGTGTCCTTTCACCTGTAGCCTTCTCCCCTCCCCCTGCAGCCTCAGATGTCCTAGGACAAAGGCCTCTTTCTTGGACAGGTTTGTTGTCAGTGTGTGAGGGGAGTTGGGGGTGGGGGAGGCTCCCGGCAGGGACATTATTCACCTCCCTTAAAGGGGACCCTAGATGCCCTCTGTCCTTTCTTCCAGGCAAGGCACCCCAGCCACATGGCAGCCACATACACTGGACAGACCAGGACACGTGTGTAGGATATCAGGTCCATCCCCCAGCACCCACGGCAGCTCTGGGGCAGGCCAGTAAGTACACCCCAGAAGTCACTCATTCATCCATTTGCCTCAAACTCACAACCCAAGTCCCAGGCCAAACAGATCTCTCTGCAGAGACTAGGAGAAAAGCCTTGCTTCCTCCTAGCTTTTAGTGGTTTTCAGCTCTAAGGAGAGTCCTTCCTACGTCTAGCTTCACTCCTTATAGCTGCAGCTTACACTTTTTTTCTATTTTTTCTTCTTATGATGTTCAAGTTAAATTGGAAACAGTTAAAGACTGGGGAGGCAGGCAGGTGCCACCCTAAGGCAGAGCTGGCATTCAGCCAGCATTCTCTTATAGGGTTGCGTTCACTATTAAAATAATGAAAATATTCTGTCCCTGTTGGTGAAGAATAGCTTCTGGGAGTCTTCCAAGTGTCCCCACCATTCCACCACTATGCCAGCCACCCCGATTCTCTCTCAGGACCACCCCCACAACCCAATAACCCAACCAAGCAACTCAAGAGGCAATGTGATACCCACCTCTTTGCAGCCTCCTTGCAGCCTGTGTGTGGGGGTTTGATCAACACCCATGCCAAACCCATGGTTCAGTGTTTTGAATTCCATCCCCATCCCAGGAGATCATAATTCTACAGGCATGATCTGTGTAGGGCAGGAGGTGACCCCTGGCTTCATTGCATGTTACAAGTGGGTTCAGAATCTCTTGATGACCTGGATATGAATCTGGGTCACATACATGAGCATTCAGATAGCTTTCTCATTTATATACTTATTTGGGCCCCTCAGAGGGGATGAGGGGTGGAGATAGTCACACTTGTGACTGATTCAGTAATGATATAGGGTTACAGCTAGTCGACAAACATTTACTGAATGAAAGCTACCAGTTCAGGACGTTATTTGTGGCATTGCAGATACAACTATGGATAACACAAGTTGTTCAATGAATGAATGGATATTTACTGAGTGTCTACTCGTTCATTCATTCATTCAACAAATATTTATTGTGTATCTACCATGTTTCCTACTCCAGGAACACAAAGATGAATAAGACATAGTCTGTGTCATTAACAGTCTAGGCAGGGAATTCCAGTAATAAAGGTCTATATAAAGTGCTATGGAGCTGAACTGCTGCTTGTGAAATTCATAGCCAGCTTCACAGAGAAGATGACAATTGAGTTGGGCTGTGGAGAATGACTCAGGGTTCACCAGGAAAAGAAGGGGAGAAGGGTATTCCAAACAAAGGTGTGAAGACATAGAAACATCAAACACAGAGGAGTATTTTGGGTTTCCTAGGATGGGGTGTGAGGTAGCAAGTAGTAAAAGGTAAGCCTGGGAAATTTGACTGGGGCTAGATAGTAAAGTCCTGAAAGTTAAACTAGGGAGGTTGTATTTCATCCCGTGCACGGGTCATAGATGTGTTTGAAGCAGTTTTCTTGTTTGCGGGGACAGGCATGGTCGTGCAGGCTGAGCTAAGTGAACAGACAGCCCTCATTTAGGCGACGGGCCAGAGTGTCTCTCCCACCTCACTCCACTCCCCTCCCATAGGAAGAGGCTGTTACTGCGGTTCCCAGGCTCTGTCCTGCCTCCAGAACGCTCTTTATAGCCCTCGGCGGGGGGGGGGGGGGGGGGGGGGCGGATGATTCCTTTAGCTCCCTCCTCTCAGATCCCTGAGGTCCAGAGTCAACCTCCTTCTATCTTAAATCTCTTTCGCTTGACGTAAGATGAGCAGGGGATTAGGAGCCTGAATGGGTTGGATAGTGTCTGCGGCTGGGCAAGCCAGGATACCTAAGATTTTCCTATCCCTAAGATGGGATACCTAAGATTCTCCTCCTTCAGCAAAGGTGGCGGAGACAGAATATGGAGAAAAACATGACCACATATCTTTACTGTTATACCATTCTCCATCTATGCTGCTCAGGCACCCCCAAAAGGCTGACTTGTCATCACCCCCCGTCAATCCACCCCACCCTCACCCCAGCACGTGTGCACACCACCACCACCACCATCAGGGCAAGCCACAAGCAGTGTTGCCAAACACCCCGCTGGGTTATGCAACCAGCTTCCCGAGTAGGGCGGGGTGGCTAGAGGTGGAACCTGGGGAGGGCCACAGGTCCCGGAGGGAGCTGGCTGCCTAGCCTGCTTGCCTGCTGGGCTGACCGCAGTGGCCCCAGGGGGCGGGGGCAGGGCTGCCCTTTTATCAGTGCCCTGCAGGGTTGCACCCGCTGCCCCCTGGCTTCCTCTCTCAACAGACGGAAAGGGAGGCAGCCACAGGGTGCAAGGGAGGGCTGGGCGTTATCCTAGGCTGCAGAGCCCGGCGGTTACCCCGGATGGCTGGGGGAGGTGTTGGAGGGGGTCTGGGACCAGGGAATAGTGAGGCCCCTCTTACTAAAGTAAGAAAAGGGAGATAAAAACTGAGGCCCAGATGGTGGAGACAGATCTCCTAAGCCATCCACTGGTTTTTCCTTGTGTTCTGGTTTGGGTGAGGATAGAATAAAAAAGTCTTTGAAGAGGTTCCTTTCCACAGATAAGAATTCTTAGAGGATTGACTCAGGAGTTGAGGACATTGAGCCCCACTCTCAGGCCAAAAGGGTCCAGAGAGTTGGGTAGGACTGAGGTTCCCAGACCTGGGCGACTATGAGTTATGCCCTGCTAGCAGAGCCCCACACTGAATCCGAAACAGATGAAGGCTGATAAATGAGTCCAGAATAGTCCAGAAGAAATAACCCCTGGAGCTTAATTCTAAATCTAGAGAGAGGAGTAGGTTGCATGGTGTAGAGGAGAATGAGGGAGGGTCAGATCTTGAACCTTAAAACCTGGACTTGAGTCCCTGCATTCACGGGTTACGTGGCTTTGGGCAGCTCAACCTTTCTGAGCCTTGTTTCCTCACCGGGGAAAATGGAGATAATGGAGTTTTGGGGAAGATAAAGGGAGTTTTGGGGAAGCTAAAAAGAGATCAATAAGAAAGTGAGTCTGTTATTATTAGGAGATAGAAGCTTAGAAACCTGGAGCCCAGAGTGCCTCAGGGGCTTGGGAATTGAGAACAGTCTATCTGGAAGCCAGACTCTGGCGGAGAGATACCTGGGCCAGAACTGAAGCCGGTAGGCAGCCTGGTTCTGGGAGAGAACCAGGACCAGGATGCAGCAGTGTTTAGGGGGGAGGGGTGGTACACTTCCAGGAACTAGCTCTGGGACCATGGCTCTCCCACCCCAGCACTACTGGGCGGGGCCGGTTGTAGCCACACCATGGGCATGGTGCCAGCCTTACAGGCTTCAGTCACCTTCCAGGAACCCCAAAACCCCCACCCTGTTGCAATCCTCTGCAGTGGGCGGAGCTGCCTAGGAAGTCCCACCCTCTCCTCCTTAGAGGATGGGAGGCTTGATGCCTGACTCTTCCTCCTTTAAACAGGCATCCTGCTCATTCCAGCCTCCTGTCTTTGCTCTTCCTGCCCCCTTGCACCAGAATGCTCTCCTTGGCCCTTTTTACCAACCAGGGGCAGTACAGAGTGGAAAAGAGATCTGGGTTTGAGTCTCAGCTCACACTTAGCAGTGTGGACTTGGGCAAATTATATAGCTTCCTTGAGCCTCGGTTTCCCCTTGGTAACTGGGGAGAACAGAGCTTCTTGTTAGGGATCAGGTGAGACGATGTACACATAGTGCTTATACACAAAGGACATTAATGTTGGATCCCTTCCTCTGATCTACTCTCCAAGACCCAGCTCAGTTCAAGTTCTGTCTCCACAACATTTTCTCTGGCTACCTCAACACTTACACATACTTCTCTTGTCTAACTCCTTCTGCAATTATTATATGTACCAGAGAATTAATAACCTCATTTAAATATTTTCTTTTCTGGGACGTCCCTGGTGGCACAGTGGTTAAGAATCCGCCTGCCAACGCAGGGGACATGGGTTTGAGCCCTGGTCCGGGAAGATCCCACATGCCCCAGAGCAACTAAGCCCGTGCACCACAACTACTGAGCCTGTGCTCTAGAGCCCATGAGCCACAACTACTGAGCCCACGTGCCACGACTACTGAAGCCCGCGTGCCTAGAGCCCATGCTCCACAACAAGAGAAGACACCTCAATGAGAAGCCTGCACACCACAACGAAGAGTGGCCCCCACTCGCCGCAACTAGAGAAAACCTGCACGCAGCAATGAAGACCCAATGCAGCCAAATAAATAAAATAAAAAATATAAATAAATTTATAAAAAAATTTGTTTCTTTTCCAATTGAACCATATGATTTTGTGTTTTGTTACATCATCTTGTAATAGTGATGACATAAACAGTATTATACAAAACTTATCATGAGCATCGTAGTTTAATGGTGAAGAGCACGAGTTTTAGAATCAGAAATGCCTGCATTCAAATCTTGGCTCTGACAGTCACTTTGAGATCTCAAGCAAATTCTTTAATCTCTCTGAGCCTAATTTTACCCATCTGTAATTTAGGGATAGTAACAATACTTACCTTACATGTTATTGTGAGAAGTTAACAACTGGGTATGTATGTATAATTTAGTGACTCAGTGTCTGGGATATAGTAAGCACTATTAAATGGCACATATATGGTACATCTATTATTATCAAATAAATATATTAAATTAACTTATTGTTAACTAATGGGTAAATTTCTTGTGAGGGGCTGCATTTTATGTTTTGTCTTTTTTATATATACCTCAAGGTGTCTAGTTCTGAGTACAATATACGTCACTCACTCAACAAATATTTATAGAGTATTTAACAGATTGCTAAATTTGGAGGATACCAAGATGACTAAAGAGTGAGATCTGGGGGCCTCCCTGCTGGTCCACTGGTTAAGAATCCGCCTTCCAATGCAAGGGACACGGGTTCGATCCCTGGTTGGGGAACTAAGATCCCTCATGCCGGGGCGGGAGCAGCTAAGCCTGCGTGCCACAACTACAGAGCTTGCGCGCCTCAACGAGAGGGCCCACGCGGTTCAAAATACAGAGCCCGTGCACTCTGGAGCCCGCTCCACACCTAGGGAGAAACCCGAGTGGACCGCTTGCTGTAAGGAAAAGACACCGCATGCCTCAACAAAGATCCCGTATGCCGCAACTAAGACCCTACGCAGCCAAATAATAGTAATAATAATAGGGAAAATAAATAAGTAAAATAAATGCCACACCAACTAAAATGAATAAAGTGCCAAATTGGTTCAAATAAATAATATTTAAAAAAAAGAGTGAGCCTTGCCTTTGGGCAGACTCATGTGTAAACATGTGATGTGATATGAGAATGAATAAATTACATTCCGGGAAACAGAGAAAAAGGAGCGACTAACTTTCTCAATGAAGGCCTCAGGGAGGAGGTAACCTTTCAACTAGTCTTGAAAAAAGAAGAATCTGAATTTTCTAGGGAGAAAAATGGGGGACAGAATTCTGGGAAGAAGAAACAATATGTGTAAATACATAGCTGTGAGGGGAAAGTCTATAAAGGTTTGATCAGTTACAGAGTCTGGAAGTCCAGGGGTATAAAAGGAGGTTTGGGTGGAGGGGAAGTTTCCCACACTTTCCTGGGACAGTAGGGTAGGTCATGGTGACCAGGCTCAGGGCCCACTCCCTGCCAGGAGTCTAGTTGCCTATCAAAGTTCTCAGATAGTCCTTTCCTTCCAAGGACCCTGGGGCAGGTTGGTCTGGCCCTCCCTGGGAAGACTCAGAGGGCTTTCCTGAGGTGCTTCCAGTCTCTTGGAATGACCATCTGGGCCAAACCAACAAGAAGGGAGCATCCTGGGATTGTCTTCACTGTGTGAGCCTGGGTCCCTTTGATTCCCCAAGCCTCATGTATGGTGATGGAGAGCCAGGATGAGGGTTGTCTAATTTGCTCAGTGTCTCTGGGCCACTGCTCAAATTCTCTGGTGCTGAAAGTTCTTCCCCTGAAGGCTGTCTCCACACCAGGGCCTCCCACTCTCCCTGGTTCTTGTCTGTGCTCTTTCTGGTTGCAGCTGAAACCACGTTCCTAGCCTGGTTGCTGCTATCTCTGGCCTTGTTTTCCCCAAAGAGATCATTTGCCAGAGAATGAGATACCCACGGGGAAGAAGGTCAAGGGCTCCTGGGCCACATCATCCCCCAAATATCAGCTTCCCTTTTCCAGAATGGAGAGAGAGAAAAAGAGAGATCCATCTGAGGATTGGTGGAGAGCCAGCCTCTCAGTCGTCCAGACAGGAAATGAAAAGCAGACTTCATTGCCTCTCTCTCTCTGGTGGGAGGAGAGATGGAAAGAAGGAAGAAGGGAAAACCAAGGGTTGGAAAAGAAGAGTGAGCTGGAGCAATTCAATCCAGATAAAATCCTCTGAAACTGAAAGTATGTATTCCCTTGTTGTCCAGTGTTTAGGACGCGGCACTTTCACTGCCAGGGTCTGGGTTTGAACTAAGATCCTGCAAGCTGTGAGGCATGGCTAAAAAAACCCATTCTCTGTTTACCATCTGCCTTTCCTTCTCATACCCTAACACCCCTCCTCCATCCTAATACCTTCCTGCCTCAAGGACCTCTAAACCATTTGTACTACTTTTAATTTTATTTTTAAAATAATCCATCCACTCCCCTTCATAGCCAGAACTACAAACTTGTAGACACTGTAAATTTCCTTGCCCCTCTCCGTCTCCACTGAACTTTCCTGGAAAGCAAAACAAAACCAAACAAAACATTTCTGGTTAAGTCCAACAATTCAGCTTCTCCACATCTATACCTGGGCAGCTAAATATTGATGGAGGAAATCTCAGAATCTTGCTGACTAGTATACTTCAAATTTATGCCCCCCAAACTCAACATTGCCAAATAATTCTATAGTTCCCTAGTAAATTCTTTTTTCTACTCTGCTCAATAACTATTTCACACTTTCTCTCTTCTAAAATCTCCAACACCCCCTCCACTTCCCTCTCAGCAGATGACCTTGCCCACATTTCATTGATAAAATAGATGCGATTAGATGAGACTGTCCTATCTTTCCAATACCAAATCTACCAGCTTACTTGCATCTACATGCTTGACCTTCTACCTTATTAAGATGAAAGTAGTATCCCTGTTCCTAGCCATACCCTCTCAGCTCTGTGAAGAGCTGAGAAAATTAGATTCCTCTGAGTGCACAGCTAACATTCAATTCTGCACCACAGCAAAATGATGCCGACTGCATGGATTCGGTCATGAGGAAGAATGATAAAATAATTCAGAGGTACGGCTGAATCACAAGGTGGCAGTCTTAAGAGTTCATCCAGGTAGAACTCCCCACCCATTCCCTTGGATGAAAACAGCAGCTATATAATCCCAGGAAGCTTCCTCTTTATGTCTTAAGTTCCATCATAGCTGTATGTTGGGGAGACACTTCCTACACCTCTGAGACAAAGCCAGACTGTTATTAGGTCAGAAAGATGCTACCTTCTTCTGTTTCCTTAAGACCTGCTTCACTGTCAGGGAGTGCCCCACTGAGCACCCAAGACTTGAGGGAGGTGTCCTCACCAGTCATCCTGTAGAGGGCATGTGCCCACATCTCCAGGCCATAAGCTGTAGCTGCCAACACTGCTGTCTGTGATTACCGCTGTTTGTGCTGTTTCCCATTCTGCAGTGGCTGGAGTAGAAGCAATCTATGATTGCTTTAGCAAGAGGCAGAGCAAGCCCTGGGCTAGGAGTTAGAGTGCTCAGCTAATAGAAATGCATTCATCTCCTTTGGCTTTTTGGGTTTTTTTGTTTTTGGCTGTAGAAGGATTGGGAGATCTTAGTTCCCCAACCAGGGATTGACCCCGGGCCATGGCAGTGAAAGCGCCAAGTCCTAACCACTGGACCACCAGGGAATTTGCTTATTTAAAAATTTTTTAAATTTATTTATTTTTATTGAGTACAGTTCCCTGTGCTATACAGCAGGTCCTTGTTGGTTATCTATTTTATATAGAGTAGTGTGTATATGCTAATCCCAAACTCCTAATTTATCCCTTCCCCCACTCCTTTCCGCTTTGGTAACCATAAGTTTGTTTTCTGTGTCTCTGGGTCCATTTCTGTTTTGTACATAAGTTCATTTGTATCATTTTTGTTTTTAGATTCCACATATAAGTGATATCATATATTTGTCTTTCTTGGTCTGATTTACTTCACTTAGTATGATAATCTCTAGGTCCATCCATGTCGCTGCAATGGCATTATTTCATCCTTTTTTATGGCTGAGTAATATTGCATTGTATTTATATACCACATCTTTTATTATTATTATTATTATTAGCTGTGTTGGTTCTTTGTTGCTGCACGCGGGCTTTCTCTAGTTGCAGTGAGCAGGGGCTACTCTGTTGCGGTGCGTGGGCTTCTCATTGCAGTGGCTTCTCTTGTTGCGGAGCACGGGCTCTAGGCACGCGGGCTTCAGTAGTTGTGGCGCACGGGCTTAATTGCTCCGCGGCACGTGGGATCTTCCCGGACCAGGGAACAAAGCCGTGTCCCCTGCATTGGCAGGCGTAGTCTTATACACTGCGCCACCAGGGAAGCCCTATACCACATGTTTTTATCCATTTATCTGTCGATGGACATTTAGGTTGCTTCCATATCTTGGCTTTTACAAATAGTGCTTCAATGAACATTGGGGTGTATGTATCTTTTTTATTATTACTATATATTTATTAATTTTTGGCTGCGTTGGGTCTTAGTTGCAGCACTCGGGCTCTTCGTTGTGGTGCGTGGACTCCTCTCTAGTTGTGGCGCGTGGGCTCCAGAGCGTGGGGTTCTGTAGTTGCTGTGCGTGGGCTTAGTTACCCTGTGGCATGTGGGATCTTAGTTCCTTGACCAGGGATTGAACCAGCGTCCTCTGCATTGCAAGACGGATTCTTAACCACTGGACCACCAGGGAAGTCCCTATCTTTTTAATTTATTTATTTACTTTTTGCGGTATGCAGGCCTCTCACTGTTGTGACCTCTCCCGTTGC